TACCTTGCATTAATTTCTTTATTCTTTAGATGTCTTCTTGGTAATTGTACAGCAAATGTAGAGTTAACATTTGAAAGACCGATTTGTATAGAAGTTTATGAAAAATGTAAACCTCTTGGACGATTTATGCTTCGTGTTGGCGGTGAATCAATTGCTGGTGGTACTGTAACTAAGGTAAGTGAAAAATATTTATTTAATACTTATAAAATCTGTCTTAAATCCTCAGAGGAATCATTAGTAGCAGTACTATACATTATTCAAAGTGAATTGGCTTGGATTATCCGTTTGTTGATATTTTAACTGAAATTCGATTAGTTTTACTTGGCTTATGTGCATCCTGTGCGGATTGCCTCGATATAGTCATTATGCCGCAAGTTTACATAGAATAGATAGACTATAACTAACAATGGAATCCAGGACGCGCTTTTCGTTTTGTTTGAAACTCGTCAGCGCGAGATAATCCGAACCATTTCAAATTGCATTAAAACTCATACTCATTACACATGTGAGTGGCCATCTAGACTCTAGTTAATCAGATAACACGATGATGTTCGAAGCTAAAAAGTACTAGGTTCGAATTCTGGAGTGGATATCAACTCTGAGATTCAGGTTTATTCAGTTGACGAGCTTCAAGTAAGATGAAAGGCCCATTCTAGATTTCACTACTAGCCATGATTCGTCTATTCTGCATTATCCAAAGTGTTCATAAAATTAACAATTGTTCACTGTCCATATGGCTTTATTACAATAAAAATGGTTATGTTTTGTCAAAAATTCACTGAAATAATGGTCGAATTCACTTAAAATGATTATCCAAGCAACATCGGAAAAATCTCTTTATTTCACTCGATAATAGAACAGCTAGTTTGTAGATAATTCATTTAACTACTAAGAGGTACAAGCTAAAACGGCTAACTACTGATTACTAGGTAAAGTAGTCTAGTAAAGAAATGTATTAAGTAATTTTAATCACACAGTTTAAGGGCACACAAAGAGTGTATACACCTACACCATTGTGATCGATCCTGAGCTATGTCACCCAGCGTCTACAAACATTGGTTACGATAGTCACGCGGACCACAACCAAGTAGTCTGCATCTACTAACATGGCTCGCACCAGAAGTTAGTGATTATGTGGACTGATGCCGTATTTTGGTTTGGCCACCCCTAACTTTCTTCCATCAGTCTTCAACACTAGTCAGCATTGCGCGTCATGGTAATTGGTGTTCAGATATACGTAACACGTGGCCCAACCATCTCAGTTGATGAAGATTCACAACCTCATCAACTGATTTACTATCCTTTACCAATACGAAGTTAGTCTCAAGGAAATCTTTTTGTAACTAATTATAACCCATCCTGAACATACAGAATTCCAGCAGAGTTTTGTTCTTTAATGTAGATACATATTTTCGTCATGATTACAATCTCCTCTTGGACAACACCATCAGTGAAAATTTCGGATAGAATTAAGCTACAAATCCTCTCCATACAATTTTAGATATATGTTAATTCAGAAGAAAATAAGTCACATCTTGAATTCGTTTTGTAACTGAGGAATAATCCTGACGTATGATTTATGTGTGTGTGTGTTCAATGTCTATCAGTCAGCTACAACGTAGGTCCAGGCACATATATGCATCGGTCCAAGTTGCCACACCTCATTAGCACAGTAAGACGAACACCAAATTCATAGAAGCAGTTAACTCAATGCTGTAATATATAAAGGAAAGATTTTATGTAAGGATATAGTACAGGAAGAAAGAATTAGTTTGTAGAAAGAAAGATATGAAATAATTTTAATTTCATAGTTTAAGGGAAGATAGAAAGTGTATACACCTACGCCACTGTGATCGTGTTGGGGTGATCCGGAAAATTTCTCGCCAAAGACAAGCAAGGATCAGGAAACACTAAGACGCGTTTCCTCCAATCAGCGTTCACTTGAAGTTTTAGCCAAAAATATCAAGGGAGCGAAACGTCACATGCAGAGGTTCTGATTGGCTGACCGCTACACTGCTACTATGTTTAGTAGCATTCCAGAATATTCTAGCAACCCAAAGAGATTCAAAATATTATAAAAACTCTGTATTTTCTGCATTGAAACTTCATCAGTTGAGATGGCTTGGACACGTGTTACGTATGCCTAACGACCGACTGCCTCGACGTGCGATGTTCAGTGGTATAGGAGTAGGTTGGAAGAAAGCTAGAGGCGGCCAGACCAAAACATGGCACAAGTCTATGAAGTCACTGACAAGTGGACTGAGTCATGTCGGTAGGTGTAGACTACCTGGTTGGGGACCGCGAGATGATAGCAACCGATTATTAGAGGCCTTGAATGACATGGCTCAAAATCGTTTGCAATGGCGCAGGTGCATAAACTCTTTGTGTTCTCCTAAATTTTGATCTCCTTACTCCTCCTTGTCTCTTTTTTTTCTCCTCTCAAATTTATTTCACTGTATTATACTCTTTAAGTAACATCTCCAAACACTAATCTTCCCGATTACTGCTTATACTCTTATTACCTCTACCACTACGGGATTTGAATCGACAACTGCATTTCTATGCTAATGTGGTGTAGCAACTCGAACTGATGTACGTACGTACGAAGTTCTACGTTGTTACTGACTGACTGACTAACATTGAAACGAACCTTGGAGTAAAGTACTTCTCGCATACTTGGAGTCTTCTCTTTCGTGTTCAGGTCGCTGTATAGTTCTAGCTTGAGGGTTATAGAATAGTTTAGGAAACGAATATAGCGTTCAATTTGCAAAACTTATCAGATCGATCGATTCTGAGCCATATCCCACACAATCTCTAACCATTGGTTACGATAGTTACACGAATCCCAATCAAGTAGTCTATATTGTTCTATGATTATTTAATTAGTCATTTAATATTCATTTAAATAGTTTACTTGTTCATTCATACAAAAAAATCATTATTTATTATAATAATAATACCATGTCTATTATTAATACTTATCTATTTCTCTTTATGTCTAGTTAATTCCATCAAAAAAGGAACCATCTTGTTGATGTGTAATACCAAAAAAGAGAAGAATAGAAAAAGTTCACTTGAATTGTTTTAATTATTGAACATTTAATGCCAGAATGTCTTTCATTATTCAATGTTAGAAATAGACTATTATTATTATTATTATAAATATTTAACAGTCTTTATATTTATATATATTCAACCGTCAATACTTTTACTGTCCATTTATTTTGAATCTTACATCAATGATACAATTTCAATTGCAATATCAATGTGAATGGTGTAGGTTATTGTAAACAAAAAAACCCAATTAAAATTTTATTCTATTGGTATTTATGTTTTATATTTAAACGCATAGATATTGGTACAAGGAGGCACCAAATACATATGCGCAACACAAGTCTCATTTGATATGTGTGTGAGGGCTGTGATACTGCCCGGGTACCCAAACCGAAGCAGGTGGTTTTCTTAGGGGACCACAACCGGAGCCTTCGACCTGAAGGTCTGATCCACAATGCAGTGGAGCAACGTAGGAAGATGCAGTCCTATGAAAGCCGGTGACCAACGATTGGTTCATACGCCATTTGTTCCCTCAGGATCCCGGAGCCCATGTACACCAATGGTTTGGAATCAGGGTTTTCCAACTCCCCTAGGTGGAATCTCCATGTCCACCGACCCGGTTAAAGCGCCGGACATTCGCTTTTCGTCCTCTCAATTTCGTAAACAACATTAATGGTGCGAGAAGGCAGTGAGTAGGACTTCCCTGGCAGAGACTATATACGCGTGGTCATGTAAGAGCATTTCGAGAGGGAGAGCTGACTCTCCCCACTCTCGGCCGTACCAGGGCATTTGTAGTTTGAATGACATGAAATTTGTCTTTTTGGAAGATATATTCTACCCCATCCCAACTACATTATCTTAACCGTTTATCCATTGGTATTGACTCAAGGGATATATATATATATATATATATATATTGAAGACAGTGATGGAAATTTCGTCTATTATCCCCATTGTGCAGTAGAAATTGTACACGATAAAGTTGTACTATTCCAATATAAGTACATATACTTAGTTAGTGTGTGCTCAATTACATTACTTACTTACGCCTGTTATTCCTATTGGATCATAGGCCACCGACCACCATTCTCCAACCCACTCTGTCCTGGGCCTTCTTTTCTAATTCCATCCTATTCTTGTTCATTCTCCTCATGTTTATCTCCATTTCCCGGCGTAATGAGTTCTTTGGTCTTCCTCTTTTCCTTTGACCTTGAGGATTCCATGTGAGGGCTTGTCTTGTGACGCAGTCGGGTGCTTTCCTCAATGTGTGTCCTATCTACTTCTAGCGCTTCTTCCTCCGCTGGGATCTGGTTTGTTCTTTCCCACATTGGGTTGTTGTTAATGGTGTTCGGCCAACGGATCCGAAGTATTTTACCTAGACAACTGTTAATAAACACTTGTATCTTCTGGATGATGGCTTTCGTAGTTCTCCAGGTTTCCGACCCATACAGTAGAACTGTGTTGACATTTGTATTAAAAATCCTGACCATGGTATTGGTTGACAGTTGTTTTGAGTTCTGACAACCAGAGCAACTATTTATTTAGGTACATGGAATGCTCGTACAATGTGAGAGATCGAGAGAGTCTCCCAAATTGCTGCAGAGATGAGGAGATACAACCTAGTGGTGCTTGGGATCAGTGAAACACGTTGGACGCAAGTTGGACAACAACGACTAGCGTCAGGGGAGCTGAATTACATAACTCTCTCTTCAAATGGAACACAATACGAATTTAATCGACAAACAACTATTAGATGTTATTGAAAACTATATTTTACAAAATGTATGGGTATTGTAAACTAATCTATCTGTGTATAATATTTTATCTACAAAAAGAATAATAAAAAGTAGGATTGTTCTTTCTGTTTTTCAAAGTCATAGATAATAAGATATAAAGAAAAATACTCTGTTGAACATCTATCTATAAAATGTTTATGTTCTCTTTTCTTAGTCAACTTTACGATTTGGTCCACTTTGATCCCAGTATACTTTTGAACGCATTTCACGTAATCTGGATAATGTTCTAGAATAAGCAAACAAATCTTCATCACCTGTAAATATTGATGCTTTCATATTAGTTGGATGATCCTAGAATTATTAGAAAGAAATTGTATTAAAATAAGGATAACACATAAAAAAAACATTACGATAATAGTTTAAAATAGACATCTTCAGCTTGTCTGTAACTCTATATTTAAACCAATAAATTTTGGAACACCAGTTCAATTGAAGATGTATTAAGTAAAGAATATGAACAGTACAGTCAGCAGTACGACTTCGCCTTCGGACCTTGGGTTTGTTGCTTTTAGTCTTACCGCTCTTCAACCGACCTTTCTGACGTGGTAGGACTTTGAGGAACAGTTGTTCCAGTCAGTATAGCTCGGTTGCTTCATCACGATAGGCAAGCCCGACCACCATGTCAAGGTAGCAACAACTAAGAGATTCAAATCACTTCATATCTTTCTTTCTATTAACTAATTCTTTCTTCCTGTACTGTATCCTTATATGCAATCTTTCTCCTATATATTACCACCTTTGACCTAACCACTCCTATGAATCCGGTGTTCATCTTGCAGTGCTAATGCGGTATGGCAACCTGGACCGATGCATATATGTGTCTGGTCCCATGTTGTAGCTGACTGACTGATGAACTAATGCGATTGATTTTGAGCGATGTCAAGTGTATTTATTTAAATACATAAATATTGGTACAAGGAGGCACCGAATAAATATGCGTCACATAAATCATTCGATTTGTATGAGGGCTTGATAACTGCCGGATGCTAAAACTGAAGCGGATGGCTTTCTTATGGGGTCACTCTCCGAACCTTTGACCTATAGGTCTATCCCACAAGGCAGTGGAGCAATATCAGGGGATAGAGTCAAATGGCAGGCGATGACCAACAATAGGTTCATACGCCTTTTGTTCATCCAGGATCCTGAAGTTCATATGTACCATTGGTTTAGAATGGGGTTTCTTAACTGTGATAGGTGGATCCTCTGTATTCACCAACCCGTTAAAAGCGTCGGACATTCGGTTTTTGTCCTCTCAAGTTCGTAAACGACATACCCGCTGTGAGAAGGTAATGAGTAGGACTTCCTTAGTAGTGACTGTACACAGGTGGTCATGTGAGAACGGACTCTCCTTACCCTCGGTCGTACCAAGGCATTTGAGAGCCTGTACAGTTGTACGAATCACAATCATAAATTCTGCACATTTCCTTAAATAAACATTATACGAGCTTATCGACTGATACATGTTTTACACCCGTGATCTGACTTTAATATGATAGAACTCCTAATGTTGAAGACAAAATATAGATACTACTTACGTTTTATATCTTATCGATAAATCGCGTTAATAGCAACGCAGAGTCAAATACGTGTGTTTCAAACACTTAGATTTCATGCATTCATTACGATAGACAGACGAGAATCAGATCTCCCTACTCAAACTATTACACATTACAAGGGTTAATAAAACTCAAAATATATAATACATAATATGACAAGAAGACAAGTGTTAAACAGATTAAGTGTACATGCACACATACAAGCACACGCGAGAAGTATAAGCGTGTAAATATAATAACGTAAATATACTAGATGTCACAATTTCCTATAAAAAGAGTAGAACTACTAAGATGGTAGAGAAGACTCAATAGTTACAAGCTGTTTGAAACGATTGAAAAGTCAGAATCAATCATGTAGGTGTATAATTAACACAACAATTGCTACGTTCCAGTAATCCTTTAAATGCTACTGTAACCATTGCATAGCAACATATCCAGTATTTAGGTATGCGTAGAACATCATCATATGAACTAAAAATCGAAAATCAGCTAAAATTTTGGAATGTGAATGAATAAAAGCGTTTACAATTTTGATAGAGTTTTGTTCTTTTGAATTTCTACCTGAAGTCTATGCTGACGATATCATTCACATTAACAATGAAAACTCCATTACCAAACCATCCAGCTCAGAGAATAAAACTCCATCAAAATCATCCATCTTCGAAGTACATATAAGTTGTCTTCAAAAAAAGGATGGATAAATATTCATTTACACTTATAACGTTACCATGACATAACCATACAACTACTACTCTATCGCCCCCCAAATGCCCTGGTACGGCAGAGAGTGGGGAGAGTCCACTCTCCCTATCGAAATGCTCTCACATGGCCACGCGTATAAAGCCTCTGTCAGGGAAGTCCTACTCACTGCCTTCTCGCATCACGGGTGTTGTTTACGACAATGAGAGGATGAAAAGCGAATGTCCGCCGCTTTAACCAGATTCCAAACCAATGGTGCACATGGGCTCCAGTACCCTGCCGGAACAAATGGCGTATCAACCAATTGTTGGTCACCGGCTACCATGGGACTGCATCTCCTTACGATGCTTCACTGCCATGTGGATCAGACCTTCAGGTTGAAGGCTCGGAGTGTGGCTCCCTAAGAAAACCACCTGCTTTGGTTTGGTCACCCGGATAGTATCCCAGCCCTCACACATATCGAATGAGATCTGTGTGGCGCATGTGTATTCGGTGCCTCCTTGTATCAATATCTATGTGTTAAAATAAATAAATAAACTACTCTATCATAAAACCTACCATATTCATCTTTAAATCATCCATTAATTGTCGATGATGAAATTGTAATTCAATAGATGTATCATTATTAGATAATAATAATAAATTTTCAAGTGAACAATTAGCACCAATAATAAGACGAGTATGTGTATCATATAGAACATCAATGAAATGTGTAAAACGTTTTAAACTTGGTAAATTATGCATTCCCATTTGTGGTACATCACATAAAATTATTGTATGAAAACGTTTAGTTAAATTCATATAATCAGCGGCACCTAAAGGCTTATTTTGTGAATAGAAATAAGAAAATTAATGATTATATCAAATGTATATATACATATATAAGGTTTTCAGTATGGGTGTGTGTGTGTGTGTTATAATTCTCGCTTCATATAATCCAGCTATTCCTATTGCTTAGTAATCTCGGACATGAATTCACTTGACAAATCCCCAAAATCAGAACACGGTTGAACAGGGCAAGAAAATTATATTCCAAATAACAAGGTTAAATGGAAGTATGAAGCACAACAAGAAAAACATTAGTACATTTATAGTTTTTTTGTACATGAGAAGATTTCATAGTGTTTCCCAAATATCGGCTAGAGCTGAATGGATGAGAATTAGCCTAGCAACAAGAGTGGACATTGAGTGCCCGGCAAATATAATTCCCTACCACCCATTTTTAAAAAAATGGCGAGGTGTGAATAAAAAATTTAGGATGCCGGCTCAGTGGTCTAGTGGTTAAGTGCTCAAGAGCGAAGCCAGTAGGTTCTGGGTTCGAGCCCCGCGTGGTGCGTGGATGCGCACTGCTGAGGAGTCCCATACGAAGACGAAACGGCCGTCCAGTGCTTCCAGGTTTTCCATGGTGGTCTAGCTTCAATCGACTCATGACTTCAACCTGTGAAATTTATAAAACTCTCCAAAAAACCCATTCCGATAAAAATTTAGGTATCGATGATTGATATACTTGTTTTACATGTGTGTACTGAAGTGAAAATGAACAAACATTTTGTCACCTTTAATAATGTTGTAATTAATCGTAAACTGTTTATCTTTGCAATCTGATTAGCTGAAATCGAAATAGCATCAAGTGCTTTGATTGGATGTCAGAATTTGCATTTTTATATTTGAAATGATAATGATAATGAATAATTCTTTTTGTGTAATCTGAGTCTTGAAAGAAGTTTAGACATTTTAAGAAAAAAACACCAACTGAAATGCACGATCGTGCAATCCTACTGTTAATGAATGTGTATTGGGATAAATTTTTCCTTTCCAATCAAGTAATTTAATGTCAACGTTCAATTGAAGTCGTTAGTTATCTTGCCACGAATACTTATATGTATCATATTAAAAGAAAGTTTTGGGAAAATGGAACTTGATAAGTCTTGTCGATTGAACGCTATATTCGTTTCCTAAGCTATTCTGGTAACCCGCAAGCTAGAACTACACAGCGACCTAAACACCAGAGAGAAGACGCAAAGTATGAGAGAAATACTTTACTCCAAGGTTCGTTCTTGTACAGAAAAACATGGGTATTTATAAATGTTAACGTTTGTTAAATCAACATCATATTTCGGCCAATCCGTTAACGACATATTATGCTACTAACCAATAGTAGCACGCCATGTTGGAATTCTAGAATGCTCCATCGTGCTGTGATCTCAGCACCGGTGTTTTTCGATTAAGCTGATGCATCTTCAAAATTCGATGACTCGTCTCCACGAAGTTGGTATTATTTAGTTCAAGCAGCGTTGATGATGGTCGAAAAGCAGTAGATCATTTGTGTTTTTTCGATAGTAGGTGGTCTCTCACATATCTGGCAAACGTTCCGTCGGAATTTTCAATTAACGACAGTACATTGTTAAAACAAAAAAATGATGTTATGCACCTTTTGATTTACCTTCCAACCGTTCGAGTGAACATCAGGCGAAAAAATAGTTGTATAATTTCTGATCGCACCATCTACATTTACGGTTAATGGGTTAATGTTAATGAACGATACACTTACCCTCTTTATCACATTGCGAACAAGGTGTACACGACACAAAATATGGTGGGCATTTGGATAGACCTGCGTGATGGCAGCAGCTATTGCAGGTGAATCATCGGTCACAATGCCTACCACCTGTCGACTGTTGGTAGACCGTTGGAAAAACAAGAGGAATCGAGAAATCATGGTCGACGTTTCACGACCTAAAAATGCAATGCAAACGGGTATTGCCTTAAAATTCGTATCAACGGCTACGACCTGATATAAATAGACGTTCTCGTTATTCGTCTTGTACGTCCCGTCAAAACCAATAACATCACAGAAACGACCTTTCAAATTCATTTGCTCAGCAGTCATGAAGAAAAAATACGATGGACAGTTATCATCGTCGAATTCGTATTCGCAAAGCCTACCCAAGGATGTTATGTGAGCTTGTAATTTTCCGTAATCACCTATGGTGTACATTATAAATTGGCAATTTGCTTACCAGGAAGGTTCGCGTGTGAGAATACTTTGTACCGCATATTACAGACATTTTGATCAATCAGACGTTTCCCATAAGATTGGTAAGCAAAATTCTTTATGTGGAATGCAGCGGTACCAGGTATCAGCAGCGGTCTCACAGTTTCAAACTCCGCATCCGTTAACCTGCGCACCAATGAATTACCTTGGTACCTCAGGGAATTGCATTCGTGATTGTGATGCACATTCCCACGTACAACAGTTCAGTAGCCGTCTACAATCTTACAAAACATGAAGGCTGGACATTGGGTGTTCATGGAAGCCCTTCGTGAGAAAAATTATGATAACATTAACCAAATCACCTCCTCCGTCTAATCCGCTGTGACGAACCGCTAGATCTTATACGCCCATTTCTCCAACACACAAATTTAATATACGAATTTTGATCTCTGCCAATATGCGAATCTCTCACTTCATAATGACTGTAAGTCGATCTTTTAAAATTTGTGATAGCGGTCTTTAACGCTTCAACCGATGGGAACGCAACCAGAAACAAGGTTGTCAAAAAGACTTCCTCCATTTCCGTGACGTGAGAAACACCAGCGCTTGTACTTGGCACGTTACTCTCTCCTCCATAATGACGATTAAAATGTACTTCGTCAACAAGTACTGATAATTTATAACAATTTTCAAGACATAACTAACCAATTAAATCGAATTTTTAAAACTAGCCATTCCATTGGACGAAACACTGAATGAAAAATATTGTAATTTGGTCACAATTGATTGATCATTGGGAGGTGATCAATGTCATGCTTGTCTAGTCCTTATTAGTGCAGATCGAATGCTATCGATCATATTGCAATGTGGCCACCAGTCTAGGTGACTCGACACTGCGGGCACTATGTATTGAGATTTAGATGGTGATTGGAGGTAGTCAACTGGAAACCCTGGACCCGGGTTTCGTGCTACTTGGCACTCGTCAGCAAGGTGTACTCGTAATCTTGAGAGAACTGGTGCTCCCTGGCGGATTCGATCTCGTGTCACCCAGCCTCACAATCAGAGACGTTACCACTGAGCTATCCGAGCCGTGACTAACCTCGATAGCATTCGATCTGCACTAATAAGGACTAGACAAGCATGACATTGATCACCTCCCAATGATCAATCAATTGTGACCAAATTACAATATTTTTCATTCAGTGTTTCGTCCAATGGAATGGCTAGTTTTAAAAATTCGATTTAATTGGTTAGTTATGTCTTGAAAATTGTTATAAATTATCAGTACTTGTTGACGAAGTACATTTTAATCGTCATTATGGAGGAGAGAGTAACGTGCCAAGTACAAGCGCTGGTGTTTCTCACGTCACGGAAATGGAGGAAGTCTTTTTGACAACCTTGTTTCTGGTTGCGTTCCCATCGGTTGAAGCGTTAAAGACCGGTATCACAAATTTTGAAAGATCGACTTACAGTCATTATGTAGTGAGAGATTCTCATATTGGCAGAGATCAAAATTCGTATATTAAATTTGTGTGTTGGAGAAATGGGCGTATAAGATCTAGCGGTTCGTCACAGCGGATTAGACGGAGGAGGTGATTTGGTTAATGTTATCATAATTTTTCTCACGAAGGGCTTCCATGAACACCCAATGTCCAGCCTTCATGTTTTGTAAGATTGTAGACGGCTACTGAACTGTTGTACGTGGGAATGTGCATCACAATCACGAATGCAATTCCCTGAGGTACCAAGGTAATTCATTGGTGCGCAGGTTAACGGATGCGGAGTTTGAAACTGTGAGACCGCTGCTGATACCTGGTACCGCTGCATTCCACATAAAGAATTTTGCTTACCAATCTTATGGGAAACGTCTGACTGATCAAAATGTCTGTAATATGCGGTACAAAGTATTCTCACACGCGAACCTTCCTGGTAAGCAAATTGCCAATTTATAATGTACACCATAGGTGATTACGGAAAATTACAAGCTCACATAACATCCTTGGGTAGGCTTTGCGAATACGAATTCGACGATGATAACTGTCCATCGTATTTTTTCTTCATGACTGCTGAGCAAATGAATTTGAAAGGTCGTTTCTGTGATGTTATTGGTTTTGACGGGACGTACAAGACGAATAACGAGAACGTCTATTTATATCAGGTCGTAGCCGTTGATACGAATTTTAAGGCAATACCCGTTTGCATTGCATTTTTAGGTCGTGAAACGTCGACCATGATTTCTCGATTCCTCTTGTTTTTCCAACGGTCTACCAACAGTCGACAGGTGGTAGGCATTGTGACCGATGATTCACCTGCAATAGCTGCTGCCATCACGCAGGTCTATCCAAATGCCCACCATATTTTGTGTCGTGTACACCTTGTTCGCAATGTGATAAAGAGGGTAAGTGTATCGTTCATTAACATTAACCCATTAACCGTAAATGTAGATGGTGCGATCAGAAATTATACAACTATTTTTTCGCCTGATGTTCACTCGAACGGTTGGAAGGTAAATCAAAAGGTGCATAACATCATTTTTTTGTTTTAACAATGTACTGTCGTTAATTGAAAATTCCGACGGAACGTTTGCCAGATATGTGAGAGACCACCTACTATCGAAAAAACACAAATGATCTACTGCTTTTCGACCATCATCAACGCTGCTTGAACTAAATAATACCAACTTCGTGGAGACGAGTCATCGAATTTTGAAGATGCATCAGCTTAATCGAAAAACACCGGTGCTGAGATCACAGCACGATGGAGCATTCTAGAATTCCAACATGGCGTGCTACTATTGGTTAGTAGCATAATATGTCGTTAACGGATTGGCCGAAATATGATGTTGATTTAACAAACGTTAACATTTATAAATACCCATGTTTTTCTGTACAAGAACGAACCTTGGAGTAAAGTATTTCTCTCATACTTTGCGTCTTCTCTCTGGTGTTTAGGTCGCTGTGTAGTTCTAGCTTGCGGGTTACCAGAATAGCTTAGGAAACGAATATAGCGTTCAATCGACAAGACTTATCAAGTTCCATTTTCCCAAAACTTTCTTTTAATATGATACATATAAGTATTCGTGGCAAGATAACTAACGACTTCAATTGAACGTTGACATTAAATTACTTGATTGGAAAGGAAAAATTTATCCCAATACACATTCATTAACAGTAGGATTGCACGATCGTGCATTTCAGTTGGTGTTTTTTTCTTAAAATGTCTAAACTTCTTTCAAGACTCAGATTACACAAAAAGAATTATTCATTATCATTATCATTTCAAATATAAAAATGCAAATTCTGACATCCAATCAAAGCACTTGATGCTATTTCGATTTCAGCTAATCAGATTGCAAAGATAAACAGTTTACGATTAATTACAACATTATTAAAGGTGACAAAATGTTTGTTCATTTTCACTTCAGTACACACATGTAAAACAAGTATATCAATCATCGATACCTAAATTTTTATCGGAATGGGTTTTTTGGAGAGTTTTATAAATTTCACAGGTTGAAGTCATGAGTCGATTGAAGCTAGACCACCATGGAAAACCTGGAAGCACTGGACGGCCGTTTCGTCTTCGTATGGGACTCCTCAACAGTGCGCATCCACGACCCCATACCACGCGGGGCTCGAACCCAGGACCTACTGGCTTCGCTCTTGAGCACTTAACCACTAGACCACTGAGCCGGCATCCTAAATTTTTTATTCACACCCTACCATTTTTTAAATGGGTGGTAGGGAATCATATTTGCCGTGGGCTTATTGTCAAAAAATTCTAATGGGGGGATATTTAAGAAATTTTTAACAAAAATTACCGGATAATATTATTCGCTAGGCGTCATCCATCTTTGCTTATCATGCTTATGTATTAAGGCAGTATCGAGGCAATACGCACAGTATGGAGATTTTCTAATTTGTTCCACTTTCGTAATTTCGCATAATCTCAATATTCGTTTTTTGATTGTTACATAACTAATATAATACTGAACTTTCATCAGAATATTTCGTTCGTCCTTTTTATTGATTATGCAACGTCGCAAGATGTTTATATAATATGTATATATAGACTTCCATCATGTAATTGAATTTCGCGGTGTGTTCTGCAACCCAAAGATCCTTCGCTTCCACCCTCCAAGTGTTCTGTCTACGCCGTGCTTTTAACGAACTGAAACTCTTCTCTCTGTCTGAAGACTGTGACAATTTCGACATCACGTCCAGTTAAATACTACTTACAAGCCATCTTATTGTTAGTATACTTCTTTGTATATTTTATCTGTGCACTAATATTTTTTTGCTAGATTATTTTTTGTTATTAGGATCTTCGAAATATATTCCATTCGCTTCCAAGTGTGATTTGAGACCAGATGAGTTAAGGAACGCGTCTACATATTACAAAGCAGTAGGAAAATAAAATTAGGGTATACAGGACAGGAAGTTGTTGTGGCTTACGAGATAATACGTCCAACGTTCAGTTATTTAGTCGCATTTCTGAACCTTTCTGCAACTACATTCGGTATGATATCACATATAGTGTATAAATGGAAACCAAGTACACGGATCTATATCAAGTGATTAAATTGAATAAACAAGTTTTTTTGTGTACTATTTCAAAGAAAAAGTTCTTAAATGATTTTGAGATGGTGGAGAAGATTTGTAGCTCAGGTGGATGATTTTGGTGGAGTTTTGTTCTCTAAGCTGGATGGTTTGGTCGTGCTCAGAGAACAAAACTCCACCAAAATCTTAAATGATTACCCAAGCTAGCGAACATATTTTTTAAAAATCGATTCTAGTCTAATGGACGATTTCCTAATTTGATGAAATAAAACAATATCACTTTTAACATATGGGAAGAAAAAAAATTCTCATCACCTTACCACATTGCACAACTCATCAAATGTACATTTTAAAATATTTCCACCAGTTTGTTTAAAGGTAACTACACGCCCATATGTTGAAATTGTTCCAACTACTGGTGGTCCAACTATTTAGAAGAAAAAAATTGTTCAAAATAGAAACAAAAAAAGAACAATATTGTAAAATTAACTAAAGGTACTTTTAATTTCAATATAGTTTTAGTCAAAGATTAAAGAATTAGTAAATATGCAATTAGTTCCATGTTAGTTTAAGACCCAAAATACTCTGGTACAACCGAAAGTAGAGAGAGTCAGCCCTCCCTCTCGATGCTCTCACACGGCCATGTGCATACAACCACTGTCAGGGAAGTCCTACTCACTATCTTCTCGTGGCATTACTGTTCTTTACGAAATTGAGAGAAAGAAAAGCTTAAACTGGGTTGGTGGACACAGAGAGTCCACCTAGAGGAGTTGGAAAACCCTCATTCCAAACCAATTTTAAACATGGGTTCCAGGATCCTGAAGTAATGAATGGCGTACGAACCTATTGTTGGTCACCGACTACCATGGGACTGTATCTCTTGACGTTGCTCCGCTGCCTTGTGGGTCAGACCTTTAGGTCGAAGGCTCCGGGTTTGGCCCCCCTAAAAAGACCATCTGTTTCGATCTGGGCACCCAAGCAGCATCCTAGCCGTCACATCAATCGAATGATTTATGTGACGCATATCTATACCAATGTTTATGTGTTTAAATAAAATAAATAAATTTCTTTAACAATAAACATTCAAAATTCAGTAAGGAATTAAATTTACAAATAGTCAATCCTTTTTAAAAATTCTACAAATTATATAAAAATTTCAAACAATTATCTTTATAAACATTTGATATTCATACATTGTTGGTCAAACTTAATCTTTTTGACAGTATAGGGGGTTGTGGAGATTATTAAGCTTTTGATTGAGATCATGAACCGATTGATGTAAGACCACCACTGGAGACCTGTAATCACTGGACGGCCGTCTTTTCCGTGCGCATCCACGATTCGAACCCAAGGCCTTCAGTCTTGCGCGCGGACGCTTAACCTACTGGACCAACTGAGTCATTTGATAATCATATATTGTTGGTTAAACTTAATCTCTTTGACTGAATAGCTTAATGAATAAATACTAGAATTATCAGAAAGGGTTTGTGGAGATTTTAGAAACTTCACAGATTGAAATCATGAGTCAATTGAAGCTAGACCACCATGGAAAACCTGGAAGCACTGGACGGCCGTTTCGTCCTAGTACGGGACTTCTCATCAGTGCGCAACCACGATCCCGCATCCCGCGAGATTCGAACCGAGGACCTATCAGTCTGGCGCCAGGCGCTTAACCAACTAGACCACTGAGCCGGCATCCAATGGTGGTCTAGCTTCAATTGACTCATGATTTCAACCTGTGAAATTTCTAAAAATCTCCACAAAGCCCATTCTGATAATAATAATCACCTGCTCACTAGTGACTGACTTCAAGAGACACTCCTGGAGTTCTAGTGAGAAGCCGTTACCCGTGGGGTTCAACCAGGTCTGTTGTGAGACAGGAACTTACTGAAGACGATGGTGCAAGGTGGCGCAACTTCGTGGATTGGTTGAAGTTACACATTGACACCATTGGATGCCGGCCGGCCCAGTGGTCGAGTTAGTTAAGCACCTGGCGCGAAACTGATAGGTCCTGGGTTTGAATCTCACGAGGCGGGATCGTAGATGTGCAGTGCTGAGGAGTCCCATAGTAGGACAAAACGGCCATCCAGTGCTTTCAGGCTTTTCATAGTGATCCAGCTTCAATTGACTCATGATTTCAATCTGTGAAGTACTAGGATATTTGGATAATTATCTGTGATAGGTGATATGTTATTTTCTATCAACTGACAAACGAATATAACATATAACAATTTTCTCTGTTTTACTTTACACATGTAAAAACTGAATTTTAAGGAAACAGAACATATGTAGATTATTAGTATTTTATCACAGGTAACTTGAAAATATTGTGCGTATAGGTTGGGACCACCGAATAATAATAATAACCTGTTCCTGTTATCTAGTTACCTGGTTTTTGTTTGTTTTAACACATCCTGATGTCTATTAACCGCAACAACCTATTCAAGTATGTTTATGAAAAGTTTACGACATTTCGCCGTACAAGTTACAAAAAAGCCGAATCAGAGACAGTGTGGTTGCTGGCAATGTGCAACGAAAAGAATGAACATTATTCAGATGTCGACTCTTGAACTGCCAATATCTAACGGTCAATCACTCAATTGTTATCGTCAGGATCGATCAAAAAATAAGAAACAGAAACTTGTTGAGATACTTTTTGCTGAGAATTCTATATTGTACCAAAAACATAATCTTAAATAAAGCCATTAATAATAATGATAATAAAATCAAGGATAATGTAAGGCTTAATAATTTTTATGATCTTAACAATATTGTATAGTCTCTTTTTTCCTGTCTGATTTTGTAGGAAATTATGAAAACAGATCAATACTGAAACTGTGGTGTGTGCTACTGACGTCGATAAATATAAGTAGTACATATCATCAATCGAAATTGAAATACCAGGAGGCAGAAGGTTAAGAAAATCGAAGAAAAGAGAACAAGAACAAACAATGATTGGTGTGGAAATGATGAGACAATCATGTCTGAGACAATTGATTGACATTTTGCAAATGAATTATTTACTGCATGATTCTCAGATTTTACTAAGACTTTGTGTAATTTTGTGTTAGAGCACGTTCGAATGTTCCCGTTGGTGTTCTCGTCCACTACAAAACTACTTACATCGAATAATACATAATTTATGTTGAAAATCCTAAATATTATACCGAATTAATAATACTGAATTAGACCTATTATGATTAATAAACTGTTTAAATGATATTGAAAAATCTAAACGGATTGGTTGAAGTTAGACATGAACGCCGTTGGATGCCGACTCAGTAGTCTAAAGGTTAGGTGTTCGTGCGCGAGACTAAAGGCCTTGGGTTTGAATCCCGCAAGCGGGACTGTGGATGCATACTGCTGAGGAGTCCCACAATAGGACGAAACAGCCGTTCAGTGCTCCCAGGTTCTTAATGGTGGTCTAACATCAGTCAGTTCATGATGTTAATCAAGTAAAGTTAATTGCTACATTAGAAAAAAGTTGCCCTTTTCATAATTAGCACTTCTTATTGACGATATTTATTGAATGGAATTATTTTATTGTAACTCATAAGTAAATTGCTTTTTTGTATTCGTTTAATGGATTAATATACTTACCATGACCATCTTCAATTGTTAATTTTGTAAACCATTTTTCAAGTTGATTATGTATATCGTCATTTCGAGTAGAATAACTTTTTGTTGTTATTGTTGTTGAACGAATAAATAGAATAGATAGAATTAAAGTAATTAAGATTAATAACATGATGAAATAATCATAAATCTGTTTTCAATTTTAATCATTGTATTGAGATGGGAGAGGAAATTTGTAGTTCAGGTAGATGATTTTGGTGGAGTTTTGTTCTCTGAGCTGAATGGCTTAGTCGTGGAGCTTTAATCGTTATTCTGAATGACATCATCAGCACAAACTTCACGTTGACCTTTAACCAATCAAGATCGAAGTTTACAGGACAAGCTGTGAATCATATGTGGTGAAATCCGAACACTTCACTTTTACCTGAAGTCTGTGCTGATGATATCATTCACAATAACGATGAAAGCTTCACGAACAAACCATCCAGCTCAGAGAACAAAACTCCACCAAACACCGTATAGATGAAGTTATATGCCTTCATCGAATTAGGTGATCAGAATATATTTGACATCGGCCTAGCAACCACATACTAATTTGTAGAATGCTGACCAATAGAGAAGTAGGTTGGAGTCAAACTAGGGTACTCCGAGTAATATATATGGGATCAATCGACGAAATTATTAACTTCAAGTTTGAACTGTGTTAGGAAGGTGTAAGTTTTCTAGTTAGGACCGGTATGATATTCGTAACCAATGATTGAAAACGTTGGATGAACAAACTTTAAATAAGTTGAAGTGGAAAAATTGTATTCACCCTAATTTTCCTTAAATATTGGACTTAACGGCATTCAATACTTGTTCCTTTTGAACTGTATGTAATAAAAAGAAGCGAACAAATCATTTTTTCATAATCACCACATTAATGAGTGAACCCGGATGCCCAGACTGAAGTAGATGGTTTAATTAGGAGGTCAGTTCTTGGGCCTTAGAAAAGAAAGTTTAATCCATGAAGTAGTGGATCAACTTCAGGAGGTGCAGTCCCAAAGTGACAGGTGACTGAAGTAGGTTTATACACTATTCGTCTCCTGATGATCGTGGAGCCCATGTACGCCTTTGATTTGGAATCGGCATTTCCTCACTTTTCCGCATACACCGAAACCTTTTTGAGAGCCTGACATTTGCTTTACGTCCTTTCACATTCGTATTTTGAAAAGAACACCTCTCTACGTGAAAGAAGTGAGTAGAAATTTCATGGCGGAAATAACAAATGCGTTTTTCAAACATGGTCATGATACTTAACGTTCTACAATAATGTATATTATATCCCTTTTCTCTCCTTTTCATTCTTTCACAATGTACTGATATAAAGCGTGGTAACTTAGTTCTGCGTTACCTACGTCTAACTAATTATAAATACAAATGTTATTACATATTATTAATTGATTTTTATTTCCAATGAACTTACTCTAGATACAGGGGAAGATCTGATTCTTTGAATAATGTTTCACTTATTTTTGTACGGTAATCCACACCAGAATCCAAGTTGACTATATGACACTTTTCCTAGAACGGAAGAATAAACCAGGGCAAGTTTGTGTAATTGACTTGAAATCAATTTTGTATTGTTATACTAAACAGATGGTTAGGAATTCAATAGTTAGCTTGTTTCCAAATTTTTGAAAAACTGTGAAAAAGAAGGTTGAATATTTAAAATAATAAGCTTTATGTATACACTGCAATCAAAGTGGTAAACTAATTGCATGAAATCCCCCTCCTCAGTTAGCAAAGATGATTAAAACAAAACTTTTATGACATTGTCTGAAAACCAGGAAAACTAGAATACATTAATCAAAAACGGCATACAATTGGAATGATAATATAGATCAACCAATTAACCTGATCATTTGACTATGTAGTAATAGATGGAACGATGCCGTTTCGGTAAATAATGAGATGAAATTCGATACATAAAACAATATCCAAAATACATATAGAGGGAATAAAGTGCATATTAGTTGCAAGACCGCAATTGAAAGCTATCTTTATTCTTTTGAATACAACTACTATGATTTATCGACTGCACGATGTAATTCATTTACCAAGTAAAGGTCTATATACTTGGTATTGAGCCACATTGTATTTTCTGTGAGGATTACTGAATGACACTAGCCAGATGCGGTAATGGAAATAGATGAGGTGCGGTTCGAACCTATGATATATTAGCTAAAAGTCATGGTATAACCACAAAACATAAGCCATTTCATTTTCATAAGAGACATGTCAGAGGGACAACAAAGAGCATAAAAGACCATTGAAATCAATCGAATTCCCGAGCATTACCATAGAACAAAGTTGGTAAGATGTAGATACAGCAAAATAGTATAAACTAAATTTTGTAGCCGAAAAACACTTGATTTTTTTCGTAAATACGATTAATTGTAACCCAAACAGTCTAATGATAACGTCACTATATGCAGTATTGACAAACAGATTTGCATCAAAATCATGAACCGATCAATGTTAGAAAACAGCTGGGCAACATCGTGGATTGGTTGAAGTTAGATATTAAGATCAATTAATAATGATCAGTGTCATGATTGTTTAGTCCTTAAATGATAATTTAACCCTATTGATGAAGTTGCAGTGTTTCCATTAGTCTAAATGATCAATCATTGTAAATATCTCAATCCTACAAAAGCTTAATCGTGACCCAAATAGTTCAATAATGATATTTCAGATTAAGAATTTTGGAAATGGAGGTTTGGATTCCAAAGGATGCATCAGTTTCCTGAAGACTGTAGGTAAGCCACTCTGAGGATTACCAACTAGTATGAAAAAATAAGTCCACGATTTTCATTTGACTACCTCTCCAACCAACTAACATAAAAAAAGTTAAGCGTTTCGTAAGGAATGATAGATTCCACGTGCTCATAAACGAGAAGGTATAGATTCAAAGGTTATTTGCGAGTGATACTAACTAAGAATTTTTTTCAATAAATTGCAAAGGGTCACCAAGCCACTGAGCTTAGTCATTTATAATTTGAAAGATGTAAAATAAATCCAATCAGAGCCAACAACTAATAAATTCAGTGAATATTCAATTATCCGATATCATTTTTTTTAAAGTTTTATACATAATTGTATAATTTCACTGTGTAACAAGGACCTTGTTTACTGAACTTAGTTATGTCATACTGTCTTTTAATATTAGTTCACTTTAAGATAAGCTTAAGCGTCAATAATTGAATATTCGCGAAAAATAGTAACTTAGCTATATTAATTCAGGTGATTCATTACGCGGACATAAGTACACACTTTATTTATTTTATTATTTTAACACATAGATATTGGTACATGGAGGCAACAAATGCATATGCGCCACACAAATCGCATTTGATATGTGTGAGGGCTGTGATACTGTCCGGGTGCCCAAACCGAAGCAGGTGGTTTTCTTAGGGGACCACAACCGAAGCCTTCGACCTAAAGGTCTGATCCACAAAGTAGTGGAGCATCGTAAAAACATGCAGTCCCATGGAAGCCGGTGACTAAAGATTGGTTCATATGCCATTTGTTCCTTCAGGGTACTGGAGCCCATCTGTATCCATGGTTTGGAATCAGGGATTTCCAACTCCCCTAGGTGAACTCTCCATGTCCACCAACCCGGTTAAAGCACCGGACATTCGCTTTTCTTCCTCTCAATTTCGTAAACAACACTCCTGGTGAGAGAAGGCAATGAGTAGGACTTCCCTGGTAGAGGCTATATACGCGTGGCCATGTGAGAGCATTTCAAGAGCGGACTCTCCCCACTCTCGAACGTACCAGGGCATTTGGGGGCTAAGTACACACTATCCTTATATATATCGATCTATGGTGTTTTTAATTTACATATATGTATATATAACAACTTACTTTAAGAAGACCTATAAAAGGTACAAAGTTTACACGTTGTAACCCATTTTTGTATAGATCTAGAACAAACAAAAGTATTCAATATGTAAGTAAGAATTTAGAAAAATGTGCTTTTGTTTATTTATAAACATTGTAACATTGTAGAAGAAAAAAAGAAACTATAAATTATAATTGAGTAGATTAGAATTGTCAACTTTCGATGATATTCATCATAGATGTTCTTCTAGATATTATAATCTTTTCAACCACTGGATATTCTACCAGAACGTTCATCTATTGACATAGTCAAATGCCAATATTTTCATGAAGGAAACTTATTTAGAATTTTTTATATATAGAGCTCAGATTCTTAATATACCATGTATAACTTGAGCACTCGGATGTTAGAACACACCTTCGAAGTGCAAAGTACTTCTACAAGACTGGCAGGATCCTAATCCTGTACTCACTCTGGATGGTGAGCAGATAGAAGTAGTCGAGAAGTTCATGTATTTGAGTAGCTACATAAGTGCTGCTGGTAGCGTGAGTGATGAGATCAATTCACGTATAGTGAAAGCCAGAGCGGCTTATAACAATCTGGGCCATCTTTGGTACCTTTGTGATGTTAACCTGGTCGTAAAAGGTCGGATCTACAATGCGTCGATGAGAGCAGTTTTGCTCTATGCTTGTGAAATCTGGCTTTTCCGAGTTGAGGATCTTAGACGACTCTCTGTGTTTGATCATCGTTGTCTCCGAAGGATTGCTGACATACAGTGTCAACACCATGTTAGTAATGCAGAGGTTCGGCATAGTATGTTCGGGCACAGCAACGATAATTCAATTGGTGTCACTATCTTGAAACATCGACTTCGGTGGCTTTCTTCGTAAAAAATGATTGTATCTTCCTTAACTGAAAGATTTCTTCTGATTGTGCCTTTCCGTTCCCCCATTTTTACCATTATTATTATCACACTACCTTACACCAATCTCTTCGTTATTGTTCTCTTTTTTTCCTACGCTCCTTACCTTTTTTCTTTTTCCTTCTCTTTAAATTCTCATTGTTTTGTGTGGCGCATATATATTTGGCTCACTCTTGTACCAATATTTATGTGTTCAAATAAATAAATAAATAATAATAAATAATAGAACACTCCCAAGTCGCAAATGAGAACACAGAAGACAGATGAAAGGAATATTATTCCAAACAGTGTCAAGTACGGTACAAAACTGTCAGGTATTTATAGGTTTTGGTAAAAAAAAGAAATCATCATATAGTTATCCAATCCGCACAAAGGGGATTATTAGCATTCCTTCAATAAGAGAGCTACACGTAGGGATTCTGGGATATTCTTCCAAAGGATGATTAGATGGAATATCTTCGGCTCTTTCTGAGCATCTTAGCGCTTCCTCGAGTTCACCCATGAACTGTCCTCACAGAATTATATGATATGTATAAATCAGCTTTTAAAGTGAATTATACCCTTTAGGTAAATATTTACTGAATATTGTAGACTTAGAAAGTTTTATTTAATATGTATAGGTGTTGGATATGTGAATACCCCAGATACTACAATTAGAAAAATAAATTTTAGGATTAAAAATATTAATATAAAGTGAACTTTATTCATTGACTATGGATGTTTTCATCTTCATATGGATCGATTTATTCAGTATGAAGTTCGTCTATTTTACTTTCAATGTGTAGTGACTCACGTTTATCACGAGAACACGACTGGTTTAATAAAAACAATTATTATTAAAACCAACTGTACCAGTGTTTGTTTTAACGTGCTTTTGTTTGACTGTGCTAATGACAGCTATTTTGTGCTTCCATTCTTATACTCACACTTTGATTGTAACTTCGCGCGAATTCGGTTACGTCCTGTAACCAAGCTTGTATCCTGGCACGATCTCGGTATCCTTTCGATGCCACGAGATCGCCAGCAAACATAACTCGACTTGGTCCATTAATTGCCTTCTGGTATTCGGCTTCTCGGGGATTTTATGGAGTCATTTGGAACGAGCTTCTTACGCCTTTTGATCTAATTGGCACGTGTTTCTTGGTAGCGGTGTTCATAGTCAACCGCGACTCGACGCCACGCTACAATTGGTAATCCCAATTCGACTACAATTGGTGACCCGTATTTTGGAACACGCCTCAACTTCTGATCAAATCTTCCAAAGAAGCCAATTCGGTGAGTCTATGATTTATCTATCCACGTCTGTCGTATATTTTCATATTTTTTAATATATAATATACGCGACATGACGGATAACGATAAGAATAGTATTAATATAATAGACTCACACGTATGTGTACCGAATCCTTGTCACTTTTTATTCGCGTGATGATGAATTCCACGCTTTATTCGAGAAATGTTACCCTATTAACGATTCTCCTCGCTGACCCGGCTGCTTGGTACGGAATGCATACGCATAAGCATATCCGTCTACCACCCAGCACCAAATGGTTAAGTTGAACGGTCTCATTGACAACTTAAAAGTGCTCTACGAGCACACGAAAACGACAACTGGTACGAAACCTTACCGCTCGTTCTTTTAGGGGTGAGAACGAGCTTAAAGGCAGATATCCAGTGTTCCGCCACTGAACTTGTATACGGCACGACATTGCGTCTGCCCGGAGAATTCTTCACACCACGGAGCAGACCTAATTTCGGTAAATCAGACTACGTCCATCGACTGTCTGCATTTATGCGAACGCTGTCTCCGGTGTCAACTCGAATACAACATCGACAGGTCGCTCTTCCTCGAGAGTTATCTACCTGTTCACATGTTTTTGTACGAGTAGATTCGGTACGCAAACCTTGACAACAACCTTACGAAGGTTCTTTTCGCGTGATCGCTCGTCACGAAAAGACCTTCAAGGTTGATCGACACGGCCGCGTCGAGATCGTCAGCATTGATCGTCTCAAACCAGCACACGTCGATGACAGTGCCCTATCTGACACCCTGAGATTCAATGCTAGACCTATCAAACCTAGCGGGATCCTTAAATCTTCTTCAGGTCCCACGCTAGATGCATCTGAGACCTCATTCTCACGTCCCGGTCAACAGCACGCGTCATCTGCACCGTCTACGGACGAGACGACAGTCTCACGTCCAGATCAGCAGACCACGCCGCCTCTGACCTCGGATGAGATTGCAGGCTCACGCGATACGAACGAGACTGCCGTCTCACGTTCCGGTCGCCGAGTACGGTTGCCCGTACGCTTCCGCGACTAGTCGCACAGTCAACAGCCGATACGGTGTAGGGTTATTCCTATGCTACATGCATGCTACACTCCTCTTTTTTTGATTTTCTTTTTGTTTCCTGAGCCCACGCCTTCGACCATCTCCGTTTGGTTCCGTCGACTTCAGTCAACTTTGGCGAAAGCTGGATTGGCCACCCACGCTCTTGTCAACGTACTCAGTCGATATATTGGTTTCGAATGCTTGGCATACGCTTGGTCTCGAACTTGGTCGTTACGGTCGCTTCTGGTCTTTTGGCTCAACGTGGTTTCGTCCTACGTCTGCAGCGTTTCTGGTGCGCACCTCTACGAACGCCCTCTTCAGATTCTGGATACAAACCACTTTGGTGTAGCATGCCAACTCGAGCAATAAGTACAACACATCGCTCCTGGTACTGTTCTCCGAAAACGACCTTCGTTGGCAACTCGACGATCAACGATCGCTTTCCTGTTCGCCAATTCTTCCGTCCTACAATCGCTCGTCAGCCGATCAGTCCCACGATTCAAACCGCTATTTATCGAAAGTGTAAACCCTTTCTAGCGGGGGGCTCCTGTAGTGACTCACGTTTATCACGAGAACACGACTGGTTTAATAAAAACAATTATTATTAAAACCAACTGTACCAGTGTTTGTTTTAACGTGCTTTTGTTTGACTCTGCTAATGACAGCTATTTTGTGCTTCCATTCTTATCCTTACACTTTGATTGTAACTTCGCGCGAATTCGGTTACGTTCTGTAACCAAGCTTGTATCCTGGCACGATCTCGGTATCCTTTCGATGCCACGAGATCGCCAGCAAACATAACTCGACTTGGTCCATTAATTGCCTTCTGGTATTCGGCTTCTCGGGGATTTTATGGAGTCATTTGGAACGAGCTTCTTACGCCTTCTGATCTAATTGGCACGTGTTTCTTGGTAGCGGTGTTCATAGTCAACCGCGACTCGACGCCACGCTACAATTGGTAATCCCAATTCGACTACAATTGTATCATCATGACATCAATTAGTCTACTATGATTTGTATTCAGTAAAAAATTACTCAGTTTATAAATTATAATTAGCATATATTTATTTTCAGAAGGGAAGTTTTGCGGAGATTTCAGTAACTTTACAGTTGAATTCATGAGTCAATTAAAGTTAGACCACCATGGAAAACCTGGAAACACTGTACTGCCGTTTCGTCATAGTATGAGACTCATGAGAAATACGCATCCACGACGAATCGATCATCTAGTGCTTTCAGGTTTTCCATGGTAGTCTAGCTTTAGTTGACTCATATATTTATTTATTTAAACACATAAACATTGATACAATAAGGCACTAAATACATATGCACCACATAAATCATTCGATATATCTGAGGGTTGGAATACTGTCTGGATGCCCAAACCGACATATGACTGATTAAAAAGAATATCAATCATTCAGCTAAAGCGTAGGAACAGGCACATATATGCATCGGTTCAAATTGCTATACCTCATTAGCACAACAAGATGAACACCGAATTCATAGAAGTAGTTAATTCAATGGTGGTAATATATGAAAGAATGATTGCATATAACGATCTAGTACAGGAAGAAAGAATTAGTTGGCAGAAAGACATAAAGCAGAAAAAAATATGATTACATAGAATTTTTTCGGAGTGTTCAGCAATACATTTTCGTCAGAAAACTTTTCTCTTATCTATTGTCCAGGAGGTCATAATTGAAGTGGTATGTATTAGCTGTCCAGTCTATCCAGTGAGCATAGATCCTATCCTGTATTAGAATAATCATTCAAACGTTTGTAATGAGATATACATAACAGGATTTTAAGTCATAACAACAGATTATCGTGAATTGATTGAATAAAATGTCTTTTTTTGTTTTGTTTATGATGATCTAATGACAACAACAAACAATAATAAAAGTCATCATCAACTAACCGTCCGGACAACGATTTGATGTGGCAACAACAACAGCGCCAAGATTAAATAAATTCTCAAATAATCGTTTTAATATCATTGCATCTGCAATATCTGTAACCTAATTTATATTGAAAACAAGAAATTACAAAACTTTTATTCAATAATTTTCTCAACTTACAAAAAAAAATCGAATAACACTGAATTTTTGATTGCTACAACAACCCTATTAGGGTTTATGCGAATCGATTTCGTCACTACGAGAGCTTCCAACGCCTCACATCAATATGTTAGCTATGGTTTTTGACTGGAATGAGGCATTTTTCGACTGTTTTTTTTGTGAATAATTTTATGACATAGTCGGGAAGATCAATCGAAGCTTTCTATTATTTTATTTTATTTTAATACATAGATATTGGTACGAGGGGGCACCAAATAAATATGTACCACACAGATCTCATCTGATATTTGTGAGGGCTGTGATACTGTCCGGGTGCCCAAACCGAAGCAAGTGGTCTTCTTAGGAGACCACAACCGGAGCCTTAGACATGAAAGTTTGATCCACGTGGCTGTGAAGCATCGTAAGGAGATGCAATCCCACAGTAGGCGGTGACCAATAATTGGTTCATACGCCGTTTGTTCCCTCAGGGTACTGGAGCCCATGTGCACCAGTGGTTTGGAATCGGAATTTTCCAACTCCCCTAGGTGAACTCTCCATGTCCACCAACCCGGTTAAAGCACCGGATATTCGCTTTTCGTCCTCTCAATTTCGTAAACAACACCCCCACCACGAGAAGGTAGTGAGTAGGACTTCCCTGGTAGAGGCTATATACACGTGGTTAAGTGAGAGTATTTCGAGAGGGAGAGCGGACTCTCCCCACCAGGGCACTTGTTAATATTTTCTATTCGTGACATTACATTTTTTTACTTGACTAAATGTAATTGAGAGCGATATATAATATAAAAACCTTTCTCTACTTTTTTTATACCACAGTCGTAAATCTAAACATGTAAAATACAGTTCAAGAGGAACAAATCACATCGATAGGTGAAATGATATATATGACAATTTAACTCCATATTTCGATGAAAATAGAATGAATAATAATTTATTAATGAAAGAGCAAACCTGAAATTCATCGAAGCATAACAATTTGTATTGATCAATGATACTTGTCGCTACTGGAGGAATAGGATCAAATGAGTTTTTGTTTCTTGGAGCAGATGAACGAACAGAATGTAGCCCTTAAAGAAAGATATATATCAAACAAAAAGTGGGAAAATATGGTAGATTATAACATTCACTTGTGATATGTTTTGTACTTAGTTTAAAGTGTAAACAGAACTTTTTCAATGATAAATACACCGTAATGAATTAGTAGAATGATTTAGTATGTTTCAGTTTTACTGAAATACTTGTTTGGTTTACTTATATACTAATTACAGACTTATGTACTCAGCTTTAAGCTGTACTTATGCTGTGTGTAGGCTAGCGATTGTTTATGGTTGCTCAATACAAAATAGATGAAGTGTAGTTCAAGTTTGTGACCTAATGACTGAAAGATAAGCATTTTAGCTGCCCTAATCTACCTCTTTGTTTCAGTTTTACGAACCTCTATATTGAAAATAGCTCACAGATATATAGATATGTTATACTACTTAGCAATTAATGACTGACAGAGTTCTATCAAAAGTAAACTTACTTCACAGACGATGAATTCAGTGTTACATAGTACGAAATATCTGGAGATTTCATTAATATAAACATCTAGTTTACTAACAATAAGCTGTAGGTCCTAGTCTAGTTCAGATAGCTAGGTGATATTGTTAGCTTTAGTAAAATCAATGTGCAATGTACGTTAGTGAGTGAAGAGACAAAAAAATAGTAGTTTGAGACTACAATACAGAATTCGATGTTTAAATAAAAGGATATATTTAATTTTGTATGGTGACAGTGTTTACGGAAGATAGGAGGTAAGACACAACGAGGTTCAGAAGAAAATTTTATTTTATTTGCGAATAACTCAGAAAATGAAGGACTTAGCCGAGGCATAGATATCTTATTTATTTACCGTCAGTAGTTCCCAGCTGACCTATATTATCAGACCAAATAAGTATTCTCCAAGATTTGTAGGAGTTACCAAAGCATAAAAATAAACGGGAATAGAGCAATGTTTTGACATGTGACAGTAATTGAAGGTCAAGTGCTCTGATCACTGAGCCATCAATTCTTCTATGATTAGCTTAGAAGAGATCACATCATTTTAACAACTTTTGCCACTAAATCTAAGTTACCAAAGTAGAATGTATAATAATAAACTACTTTTGAACAAGTAATAAGTGGTCTAACTTACTGAAAATTAGTTTCAACAAACCTTACCTATTGTTAAAGCTATTTTACAGTATACTGTAAAATTATCATCCCCATACATCAATGGGACCTGAGGTGTGTATACGAGAACATTTGGTTTGATAAACACGAAGACAAAAAAATTGAGCGAGACTATATTCTATGGACAAACGAATCAGGAAAGATGACAGGTCTGGATTTATGGCGCAAAACAAATTTATCCATTTGGTTAGAGTTTTGGAATCATAGCTGATGTCAGTTCATGATGGAAACCCTAAATTTAATCCCTAACCTTAATCATCAACTGTAAATCATAATCCCAATTCCTCTTACTGGCTTATAACCCTCATTTGGTTCTAGTTATTAGGTTGACACTCTCAATGTCACTCTAGTGTCGCTCAAATGTCGTCCATAAATTATAGTCTAACCGAATAAATTAACTTCTAATAACTTAATACATGAGTCGATTTAAGCTAGATCACCACTGTGTTGCACCATCTCTAGGACCCCAACCAGGGAGTCGTGAAGGATCAACATAAGCCAGTCCTGCACAACTTTCTTTCATACCATGATACCATGTCATACACTGACCACCTATCCTCCTTTTCCAACCAATCCCAGCGTCGCCAAAAAATGCTCGACGTGGAATTTTCTGGGACGACATTCGTAGAACATGACCAAGCCACCGAAGTCGATGTTTCAAGATAGTGACACCAATTGAATTATCGTTGCTGTGCCCGAACACATGATGCCGAACCTCTGAATTACTAACATGGTGTTGACACTGTATGTCAGCAATCCTTCGGAGACAACGATGATCAAACACAGAGAGTCGTCTAAGATCCTCAACTCGGAAAAGCCAGATTTCACAAGCTCATCGACGCGTTGTAGATCCGACCTTTTACGACCAGACTAACATCACGAAGGTACCAAAAATGGCCCAGATTGGTATAAGTCGTTCTGGCTTTCACTATACGTGAATTGATCTCATCACTCACGCTACCAGCAGCACTTATGCAGCTACTCAAATACACGAACTTTTCGACTACTATTTTCAGAAATGACAATGATTACTGGAAATTGCTGAATACCAGTCGACGATGAAAACGATTAATCTTCTTAACAGATACAATTTTCTACACAAGTTGATTGAACTCTAAAACACAGCAATCGCTTTACGTTGAATATTTAAGGGGATAACATAGATATATATTCACTACTTTACGCATGATCTTAGTACAACCTAAACTGAAAAACAGTGAACAGGCTCAACTCCAACGTTTACAAAGGGATTAAAACGATGAGGAACGAAATTAGGAAAATGTCACACATCTGATATCTTTGAAAACATCGGTTTAAGACACAAAAAGCACCACTGAAAGTTAAATTTCTCTAATTTATTAAATCATAGATAATGAACATTTCATAGTGTTTAGTATTTTAAAAATCAACTTTGAGTCTATGTTATTTTTTCTAGCGAGTGGTTCAGCACAACTCATAAGAGATAGCAGGATAGGTCAAAGTTAAGAACGGTGTATGATAAGGATTCATCAGTTCCCTTGCTGAATAATCAACTCTTGAAGACTAGTACTGTAAGCGGTGTCAATGTTAGTTCATGTTCTTTCAAAAGAATAAGTAAACACAAAAAATCTGACAGAAATGATGTACTTTAGGCCTTTGAAAGGCTTTTGTCTTTAGATAAAAAATTAGCTCTTTAGTATTTATATCACCAATGATTGTCGCCTGCAAAGATATACTTCAAATTTTAAAAACAAAGCACAAGTTTTAACACACTGACCATCATGACAACTTACTTCCATGTACTTCAAACATGAATGAGTGGAAGTGAGTTCTCCACTTGTAATCGAGACTACAGCACTCATAAAACAAATCCATTAACATAGTCTTCCCGCAACCTTTAAAACGTTTACTCCTTTCTAATATTAAACTGACCCACAGAACCGTACAGATAAATACCTCTAGGAGCACTTTGATTACTAATCACCTATCATATATTAAGTATAGTAGCAGATAAACTTACTGATAATAATCGACTTCTGTTATAGTATGAGTGTAACTCTTTACAAAGTACATCAAGTTGTCTGACAATCGAAAATTGGAAATCGTCATGCCTAATTTTTCCTTCTTTAACAAGTCTACAATACATGGATGAAGTTATTTGTCCATCAGCATATTGTCTCAAAGGAATGAAATGACTTTTTTGAATAGCGAATAAAATATTAATGGCACAGCCTTTACTCAACATTAGGCAAGAAATGTAATTATGCAACTATGTTCTTTATATCTCGCAGTTCCAAAAACTCTGAAAATGTGGAGAGCAGAAACTAGATCTTCAACGTTTGACCAAACTTTCAAGCAGATTATTTCCTCAGTTCCATGACTGAAGCTCTAAGAGTAAATTTTACATAAGTTGAGGTCAGAGTTTTGTCTCGAACATGCCAGGAACCTGGAAAAAAAATCAGACTTTAATGGAATGTAGACTGACAAAACACTAGCCGAAAAACACCTCGGAACTTCTGAACTTGTAGCAAATATTAGCCCCTTTTTACGAGATCAGAAAATTTAGAATCATCAAAACATGGATTTAACTGGCAGTTTACTGTAAGAGTAAGTATGAATCATTATACGACTGTTTCCATGCTTAAACAACCAATGCCTTCAGGTAAGGACGTAGATACACTCAACGAGCAAAAGGAAAATTTTAGTAAATTATAATTAAATATCGTCCAAAGTCCTCAATGATATGGAAAGTTTTCTCTTGGAATCCTTGGAAGTCGCATAGACCATCGCAGCTGGTAGCGAATTCTAGTATTTGATAACTCATAAAGAGTAGAACGTGTACATACATTCCATTCTGTGTTGTCTTGAATGTCTGTGTATTCCCCTAAGGTGTGTGTTGAGAGTGAGCTTCAGTGAGTATTTTAGGTTAGGAGTGTTTAGGATTCTGTAATTCATTAAAAGGTCACCTTTGAGATACTTACACTTTAATAGGTACAGAACCGGTGATTTGAGACACACCTCTTAAGGTTTGAATTTTGATTCCTCAGACTGATTTTGTGGCTCATCTGTAGATGCGTTCCGGTGTATCTCCATACTTCTAAAGTGAAGGAGGAGACATTTTCGTACAGTGGATGGGGTCGAATAGAACTGTTAAACATTAATTGGGAAGTTCTGCTGCTGATCTGACCAAAAGTGCGCTTCAGTCTTACCAGTACAAGCTTTGGTCGAAGGTATTTATGTCACAGCGTAAGACTCGATTACAGAGCACCAAAAATCCTAGATATTTATCACCTTGGGACACTTCCAGAGCAAAGTTGTTTAAGTTGTACGTGTAGTCTGCAACGTTTCAGATGAACTACTTTACACTTAGAAGTGTTGAACATAGGTCCACTGTTATCTGCCCAACTATAAGGTTGAATAAGATCCCCCGGAAGTGCCAGCTTATCATCCTGGTTACAAACTTAACATCGTCAGTGAAAAGTAATAACTCAGATGATATTTGCTGGGGGTCATTTATATAAATTAAGAATAGAAGAGGTCCTAGTACAGAACCCTGAGGGTACCCCGCTAAGATATTCACTATTCTGAGAAGAGGTCAAATTTATCAAAATATAAACTAAATCATCTATTAGTGGTGACTTGATACCTAATATTTTGAACTTATTGATGAGAAAAGTTTGAGTGACCCAATTAAAAACTTTTGAAGAGTCAAGGTATGTCACATCTACCTTCTCATTGAGATCAAGGATGGTTGTCTACCTGTACACCGGAGTTATCAGTGGCTTTTCCTGAAACCATGTTATTGTGGTAAAAATAAGTTCATGGACTACAACTAGTGATGTAGACCATCATATATCAAAGACTCCATAATTTTTTAGAGTATTGAAAGTGCTACCGGTCGACAGCCTGAAGGTCTATTGCGTCAGGCTCCTCTGAAGAATTAGTGGACCAGCTTCTAAATGTCTGAGACCGCGTTTTGGTTTAGAGAAAACTTAGAATTGCCACCTTGGACCGATGCATATATAAGCCTCATCCTGCGTTGCTGCTGACTGACTGACTGACGTGGTATTAAACGATCAAGTTTTCATTTCTCTTTGTCATCTGAAGAGCAACTGCGAACGTTGGATGCACGTCCTCAGCAAGAAGACATGAAGAGGCACAATTGAAAGTCTATTAAAGTGATTGCGTTATTATTTTACATTTCAGATGGCCATAGTGATGCGACTAATCGATAATTCAAACAACCTCCGTGTGCTATACTTTGTCATACGTCATGAAACCTGAAGTGGTCAGCTAAATTGCACTGCTTGGCATTTCATAAGTACAGGTTTCACGGCAGTATACGAAGCATACCCTTCTTATTTTTACCCATTGGGTACAATAACATCAGACTGTTCATCGTCAACTGTCACAGAAAAAAGCCTTGCGAAATTGTATGAAACAGCAAAGCAAAGTCATTTTCACATGAGAAATAAACTGAAAAAGCATCATATAAGTAAAAGTTTGAAGTAATAACCTCTTATTATTGTTCTGTAGTTGCATTGTTCAGTGTTAATGAACATTACCGTAAGTCTTATTTTATGTTGTCAGTTGTTGACCAAAAAACGTTTGCAATTTAACGTTGTTGTAAATGCTAGTATTGTTCTATTTCAGAGTCCACAAAACGACCATTTCGATTCGGGACAGTAACACTCAAGTTCAAGTTTTTGAAAATCCTTTTTATTTTAACGATAACTATAAGCATTCTTTATTTATGTATTTACTTCCTCACTTACGTGTGCTACACATATACATATTAGGTACATGTTGAGAGCGTGTTTGGTTGCCTATGGAGTTGACAATTAGGATATATTCCTGATAAATAACGCATTACCTTTTAGCTGACACCTTTTTGGCAAATCGTTGTCAATGACAGTGGAACTTCGCTGTGGCGAATATAGGAAACGTGTGAGCTAAGAGCATATAATTGTGCGCAAATAGAAGTGAAACTTAAGCAATAAAGCCTAAATTTACTAGACAACTCGGTGTATTTAGGTGAGAAGCAAATAATTCGAAAAAATTGCTAACTGACGCTGACAAAAAAGAGGATGTCGCACTATTTCCCAATGGCAAGCGAAAATGGATTCTTTTGACGCGTCTTCCATTTCCACATTATTGTCTTAAGGAGAAATACCCCTTATTTCCCACATACTTGCCTTTATTTTTGGTTTGCTTGGATAGATCATAATTTCGTCGATTTTCGCTCTCATAAAAGTTTAGAAAATCTAGGTGACTTGGAAAGCTATAATGATACCCGATATCTCTATTTTTAGGGAAACCGCTATAGAAAACTTTGAAGAAATGGCACAAAAACCACAATATTTATCAGAACTTTAGGGAAAACTACCAAACTTTTCACGACTTTGGGGAAAACCCGAAAATTCCCCCAAAATAGGGATATTGAGTTCGTTCAAATGAAAAGCTTGGATCTAAGCTTCAAAGAACTAAACTCTTGAAACATCAAAAGCTTATTGAACTATATACTGCAATATTTAAGTGCTCAGTAGCTAGTCATGAACACATATGGGTTTCCGTTAAGGATATTGACTGTAAATATATTGCCATTAACTGTGTCCATTATTTAGTTATTGTTCCATTGTTACATTTATGTAAATGTATTTTGTTTCATTTGTGCTGAATATATGACCGTAAACAATTTCCTTACCTCTTATGTAATATTTAGCCCGCTAACAAGCAATACGTCATTGTAGACGCACAAAGCGAAAAGCAGCTTATGATAGCGGCCAAACAGTGAATTTTTGGTGAAGAACTTTGCTTCTATCCAACGAAGCTTGTCGATATACACCTACAAAACAGTGACCAACCAGGTGACAATTGGTCAGTTCTGAAGTGTAACGTCATTCACGAGTGAGGTGAGTCACAATCATAGGAACGATCATTTACTATAGATAGTCTCCAGTCTTCAAAGGACAAGTTGGTTTCCGTCAAAAAATTAGATGTTTGTCGCATGAACGGTTCAATGGACGAAGACACCTTGCCACTAAACACTGAGAAGCCGAAAAAGTCAGTACAATAATCTTACTAACATTCTGTAGAGGTGCATTGGAACGTAAAGAAGGGTTTCTTTGCAATTCCGTTGAAATGGATGTTACAGAGATGCAGGCTGTAAGTAGTCACGTCCAATATCCCAAACTTCGGTTGTTCGAGTGTTATCTCGCCGATTGCTAAGTAAGCCTGTTTACTTTTGAGGTGATAATCAACAAGTTCGGCACAATTGGATACGTCGCCATCAACGTTCGAGCCTAGGCATGTAGGCAGTGCGTTTGCGGCCGAGTAAGTCATGTGTCCGATAGAGATACGTTTTTGTGATTTGATAGACTGTATACTGTACTGCAGAACATATAGTCTGGTATTTTTGACTTGAGTGCTAATATGTAGCAGCTACTGTCGAAGTCTGTTGACCGTGAACATCCGCGAAAATTCGATTGCAGACTGCCAAGTCAACAGTTCCCTTTATCATCTGAAGATGAAGTGGGGACGCTGGACGCTTGTTTCCAGCAGGAAGAGTCAAAGGACAGATTTGTAAGTCAAAAAAAATTAATTTGATCATTTGGTTTTATTACAGATGGGCCTGTTGACGCGGTTAATGCATGATAATCCTAAAACATCAATGAGATATATTTTGTTATACATCATGACACCTGAAGTTGCCAGCCATTTCACGCTACTTGGAACTTCATCGAAAACGGCACTTCAGAAGTGCAAGTTTTAAGGCTGTATACGAAGTAGGAAATGTTTGTTTAAAACATCAGGTGCATTAACTAATCGGTTCCTGGCACCAACTGTCAACGAAAAACAACTCGCGACACTTTTTGACATCGCGACGCAAGGTTATTTTCACATGAGACAAATTTTAAAAGCGCAATCGAAAAAAAAAAGAACATGTATGTACTAATTTAAAGTGTTAATTATTTTCTACTGTTCTATAGGTGTAGTCTTCAGTGTTAACGAATATAACCGTAAGTGAAGCTTCAAGTAGCAAGATGTGTAAAAGCATGGCATTCAGATATCGTGGTGACCATTTATTGTTCTTTACATTTCAGAATTCACAAGATCGTTTTGATTCTTAATAGTCGAACAGGCGCTACGAAAAGAAATAAGCAGTGGAGTATTTATGATGCTCAACTCCGTTTCCAATAAACATGTTTTTGAACATGCGTTTACTTTCTTACTTGAATAGGAAAC